CCTCAAAACGTAAAGTGCTATTACTAAGATAGTTATGCAAGCTTGAGTGAGCTATAAATTTAGGAAAGCCATTTCCTTTTGATGGACCATTTTCCACAGTTGAAAAATCTATTGGAGTATCATACTCATACTTCACGATTCTTCTATGCGGTCGTCCATTGTCATTGTGCAATAATTCAATAATAACTTCTCCTCTGAAAGGCCACGGGATTGTACGATCAAAATTTCCTTGAAGTAGGCACACATAAACAGAGAGGTGACTTCCCTCACCCCTACCATAGCCATTTGGATGTACTCGTAAACGCATATGGTAGCCATTAGCATAGAACGATGGACTTAAAACATCTTTATCTTTGTTTTTAGACTTGACAAAATGATAAAGCTCGTAGAAAAAGGTTGGCTTTTGTTTCACAATATCGCTATCACTATCATAATCATCATCCTCATCATCTTCATTATCGGTTTCTTCCCCTGACTCCAAGCATTCATCGATGTACTCGGTTAATTCTTTCCTCAAGTCATTTTCTGCTGCATCCTGCCATATTGCCATTTTTCTTCTCATTTCATTTTCCATTGATGGAATTTGAGTTTTTAATAAGCATTGATTATTTTGCTCTAGTGTAGACACTTTCTGACGTAACAAAGTGATTTCTTGATTCCTTTTTTTAACTTCGGATTCCAATTTCTGGTGTAACGAAGTAATTTCTTGATTCTTTTTTTTAACTTCGGATTCCAATTGCTTAATTACATCCTTGCATGAAGCAAGGGCCTCTTCATTTTTAGAACCTTGCTGAAGGCACAGGTGAAAATGCACAGCCAAATTGTTTTTTACGTGATCGTCCATTGCTCTTCGATACCCTTCCCACTGGCACCCATATTGAGATGCAACACATTTTACATATGCTAGTGGGCAGACTTCGTTTTTGTGTGTCTTTTCATATCCTCTTGTTATACTTGCATAGCATTCAGAACACTGAATAACGTATTCAGAACAGAGATCATAATGTGAATTCAGATCACTCCAGCTATAATGGTGGTGACAATATTTACACGACACTATTCTAAAGATACATTCTTCACTTTGATGAATTGAAATAAAATCTCTTGGACCTTCAAGATCACAAGTGGCACAACGAATAACAGCACGCACACAGTTTTCTTGGTGATGCTGAAGATCACCTAATTCACCCTCCCACTCACAACCCTCATTCTTCTTATTACAATAGACGGAAAGGGACTTGAGAACTCTTTGAAGACTTTTATCTGGGTGTGTTTTAAGAGAGACACGACATTCAGGACAAAATTTCAGCCGTTTACTGCAAGACCCGCACAGATGATGCCCGCATTCACCATTCACAAATGGGTTTTGGTACAGAGAGACGAAACAAACGGGACAATTGGTAACCAAACCTTTAGGAACAGGGTATATGTATAAGGGGTCATCTAAGTTGTCATCTAGTTTTGTAGCCATTTGGAGCCTAGACTAGAGAGAAAGAGGGAGGCCCCAGCAACCTTCGTCTGTACCAGAGTAACCAGACTTGCCAATGCGGCAAATGCCGGGAAATCTAGACCTAATTTTTAACCCTATAGCAAACTAAAACATGGCGGATTTATTGAATTCAGATGGATTAGACTTTGTTTCTCCACCTCCTGAGTATTTTCTATTTACAATTGAAGTGTCCAATATGGTTAGAAATGTTACTGGATTCTTCTTATCTCGTTAGCTGCTGCGGGAATCACATTTGTGGGAATTGTATTCAAAGCCTTTCGACTTCTGCTGCATTTCGTGTCCTAAGGCCAACCCTAGGGCAAAAACCATGTCCATTATGCAAATCAACTACATACGAGAAAGTAATTGATAAAGGACATCAAAGAGCCGTCAACTCTCTCAAAGTGTATTGCTCAAATAAAGGAAAAGGATGTAATTGGACAGGAGAGGTGAAGCAGCTGCTAAATCACTTGTCACTTGATAATGGAGATTGCCAGCATCAAGCTTATGACTGCAAGTACAAATGTGGCCAGAAATTCTTCCGCTCATGTCTTGTCGACCACCAAATCAGTGGCTGCATCAAACGACCTATAATTTGCCAGTTTTGTAAGAAATACTCTTCAACGTATGAAGAGGTTACCACTATTCACTATGGAGTATGTTCACAGTATCCAATTAGGTGTCCTAATAATTGTGGTGCTAGTGTCAAGAGGATTGTACTAGATACTCATGTATCTACGAATTGTCCTC